ATGTCCGCACAAAAACCTCCACATAAATGTTTATAGCAGTTTTATAATAGCCAATATTTTAAAACAACTCAGATATCCTTCAATAAGTAAATGAAGCTGGATGTTGTGGCTCACACCTGTAACCCTAGAGCTTTGTAGGGGCCGAGGTGGGAGGATTGTTTAAGGCCAGGAGTCCAAGACCAGCCTGGGCAACATAGCAAGACCCCATCTCTACAAAAATAGAGAATTAGCTGGGTGTGGTGACACACACCTATAGTCCTATCTACTCAGGAGTTTGAGCCCAGTTCAAAGCTGCAGTGAGGCTATGATTGCACTACTGCACTCTAGCCTAGGTGACAGAGCAAGACCCTGTCTTTAAAAAAAAAAAGGAACAAATCATTGATACATATCATGAAATACTACTCAGCAATAAAAAGCAACAAATAATTGATTATGCAACAACTTGGCTCAATCTCCAGAGAATTATGCTGAGTGAAAAAAATGCCTATCTGGCTCATGTCTGTAATCCCAGCACTTTGGGAGGCTGAGGTGGGCAGATCACGAGGTCAGAAGTTCAAGACCAGCCTGACCAACATGGTGAAACTCCATCGCTACTAAAAATACAAAAATTAGCCAAGCATGGTGGCACATGCCTGTAATCCCAGCTACTCAGGATGCTGAGGCAGGAGAACTGCTTGAACCCAGGAGGCGGAGGTTGCAGTGAGCCAAGATTTGGCCACTGCACTCCAGCTTGGGTGACAGAGCAAGACTCCGTCCCCCAAACAAATAAACAAACAAACAAACAAACAACAACAAAATGCATACCACAAAAGGTTACTGTTACGGACTAAATGTTTGTGTCCTCTCTAAATTCAAATGTTGAAGCCCTTAATCCCTAATGTGATGGTATTAGGAGCTGGGGCCTTTGGGAGGTAATTAGGTTTAGACAAAGTCATGAGGGCGGAGCCCCCATAATGGAATCAATGACCATGTAAGAGGAGGAAGAGATTTCAGCACTTTCTCTGTGTGAGGATATACTAAGAAGGCAGCCTTCTGCAAGCCAGGAAAAGGGCCCTCAGCAAGAACGTGATCTGCCAGTTATCTGGAACTTGGACTTCCCAGATTCCAGAACCATGAGAAAGAAACGTCTGTTGTTTAAGCCACCCAATCTATGGTATTTTCTTGTAGCATTCTGAACTATGCCAGTTATATACTATATAATTTCATTTATATAATGTCCTTAAAATGAGAAAATTCTAGAAATGGAGAACTTGTTAGTAACTGCCAGAGATTAAGGAGGGGTTAGATTAAGGAAGTGGATATGGCTTCCATGAGGGATCCCTGTGGGGAGAGGAATGTTCTGTATCTTGACTATATCAGTACCAATACTCTGGTTGTGATACTGTTTTACATAGTTTTGCAAGATGATAACATTGGGGGAAACCAGGTAAAGAGTACATAAGATATCTCTTGCAACGCCATGTAAATCTGCAATTATCCCAAAATAAAAAGTTTAATTAGAAAAACTTTACCCATACACATATGTCTGAAACTTACTTTACAAATAACAACAGAAGCTCCTTGGCTTATGATAGGGTCACATCCTGATATAGTCATTATAAGTTGAAAATATCCTAAGTTAAAAATGTATTTAATACAATTAACCTACCAAACATCATAGCTTAGCCTAGCCTACCTTAAATACGCTCAAAACTTTGGCCTACAGTTGGGCAAAATCATCTAATACAAAGCCTGTTTTATTAAAATATGTTCATTGTCTCCTATAATTTATTGAATAGTGTGCTGAAAACCAGCATGGTCATGTGAGTACCTGAAACATAGCTTCTACTGAATGCATATCACTTTTGCATCATTATAAAGTTAAAAAAGTTCCAGTCGGGGATGGTCTGTTTATACACGCCATGCGCACACACATATAAAGAGGGAGTGAGATAAAGAAGGTGTTGCAAGATGTTAACAATTGATGACTCTAAGTATACTGGTTTTTCAACTTTTCAAAGTTTCAAGTTTTCAAAGTAAAACACTGAAGGAACAGGAATAGTCTCTAGTTTCTTCACTGATCCTTTGCTCTATTTGAAATGTTCCATATCAAGATTAATCCTATCGGGCTGAGCTTTGGGCTTCCATAAGCACCTGCATCCTGATGAAAAAGGTGACAAACAATGTAGTAATGGCTTTTCAGATATGATCTAAAGAGGATTTAAAAATATCCTGACAACTGGAGACAGAGCATGTTATATGGTAAAACATAATTACTTAAGTTTTACTGTGGGGGGAAAAACAGCATTATTATCACCCTGCTCATCATATTTAGAAAGCAGGAAGTTTCATACCTTTCAATGTGAAGGAAATTAGTTTTCTTCTTCTCTTTTTTAAAACATGAATTTATTTAATTCTCTCAAGTAAAAGAACACCTGAGTGACACCACTCTACCATGAGGCAACTCTCAAAACTACCTGAGGCTGTTCTGGCAAATGTAACAGAGGTGTGCATATCTACAGCCTGGTAGTCAAGTGCTCTGAAGTCACAGAGATCTGGGTTCAAGTCACTAATAAGCTATAAGAACTGTCTATACCTCAGTGAGGAGGATATAATGGTATATCCTCCTTTTTGTGAGGATTTAATGGTACAGTGAATATAAAAGGCTTAACACAAAATAAGAGCTCAATACGTTCTGCCATTATTACTAAGCATTTACAATTACTTAAGACAAAGCAACCAAAACTTATATTTTACAAGAATGATTATTTATAAAATTATATTAAAGCTAATACCTCACAGTTTTAGATAAAAATCAAATGAGATCATGTGTATAGTTATAAAACTGAGTTTATTACATTATAAAAATTACACGAATTAGGAATTTTGCCTAGAGACAGCATGATATAGTAGACAGAACACAATACTCAAAATCAGAGACCCAGAGTTAAGTCCTGACTCTACTGCTTTCTGACTATGTGATCTCAGAACAGTACTGAAACTGCCTCAGTTTTCTCACTTTAAAAAATGAGATATTAGCCGGGAGCAGTGGCTCACGCCTGTAATCCCAGCACTTTTTGGGAGGCGGAGGCGGGCAAATCATGAGGTCAGGAGACCAAGACCATCCTGGCTAATATGGTGAAACTCCATCTCTACTAAAAATATAAAAAATTAGCCGGGCGTGGTGGCGGGCGCCTGTAGTCCCAGCTACTCGCGAGGCTAAGGCAGGAGAATGGTGTGAACCCAGGAGGCGGAGCTTGCAGTGAGCCGAGATTGCACCACTGCACTCCAGCCTGGGTGACAGAGCAAGACTCTGTCTCAGAAAAAAAAAAAGAAAAAAATATATACAATATTTCATAAAATTAAAGACTATGTGACATTAACAAATGTAAGTTTTCACATTTCCTGCATGAAATGTCATTCATCGTTATTAAATGTCAGATTTGACAGAAAATTTCTGAAGGTAATATAAATGGTTAAGAAAATCAAGCAATTTTTTGGCTGGGCGCGGTGGCTCATGCCTGTAATCCTAGCACTTTGGGAGGCCAAGGAGGGCGGATCATGAGGTCAGGATATCGAGACTATCTTGGCTAACATGGTGAAATCCCATCTCTACTAAAAATCAAAAAAACTAGCTGGGTATGGTGGCAGGTGCCTGTAGTCCTGGCTACTCGGGAGGGTGAGGCAGGAGAATGGTGTGAACCCCGGAGGCGGAGCTTGCAGTGAGCCGAGATTGCGCCACTGCACTCCAGACTCCGTTTAAAAAAAAAAAAAAAATCAAGCAGTTTTAAAAAATGGGGCCACTGGAACTAAAATGTCTAATGTCTTTATGTAAAAGTCAAATACATATATTCAAAATATGTCCCCAAAGACGTCCACTGAACTTTAGGTAGTCTTATATTTGCAGTTCTGACTCTTAATATTAATTTTTTTTTATTCAAGCTACAAAAATGTGTCACTTATAAAAAAAGTTAGGTCAAAATGCCTTGCTTGCTGTAACATGTTTTAACAAAGACATTCTTGCATTTGGGTAACCAGTAACTTCCTTTCCTACAAATGTGTGCCTCCTCTGGCCTTGGAAATTTGACTATCAGTCTCCATGTCACCCAGGTGCAAAATCTCTTCCCTCCTTAAGTTTCATAGTCTTCAAGTCCCAGTGAGTTTTCCTTCTGAATGTCTATTTTTTTCTATCCTCACTGCCATTACGATATGTTAGCTTGCATTACTTTCTACCTGTAGTAATAATTTCAAACCATTTCCTTGCTTCCAGTCTCTCTGCTCTTATAGTCCATTCTATTCATTACTGCTAAATTGAATCAGAAAATCCTGCTTTTGCTGTGCCACTCTCTATTCAAAAACTTCCCCCCAAATACAAAATCCTCAGCCTAGAGTATAAGCAGAACCTGGAAGCTGAATGATCAAACATCAGAAAATCTGGTGGTCTTTTTTTTTTCTTCTTTTTTTTTTGAGATGTAGCCTTGCTCTGTTGCCCAGACTGGAGTGCAGCGGCGTGATCTCGGCTCACTGCAACCTCCGCCTCCTGGGTTCAAGCAATTCTCCTGTCTCAGCCTCCCAAGTAGCTGGGACTACAGGCATGCATCACCACGCCTGGCTAATTTTTGTATTTTTAGTAGAGGAGTAGAGGCAAGGTTTTACCGTGTTGGCCAGCTGGCCTTGAACTCCTGACCTCAAGTGATCTGCCCAGCTCGGCCTCCCAAAGTACTGGGATTACAGGCATGAGTCACCACACCCAGCCTAGGAGTGGTCTTTACTACCACAGGCAGATGACATACCACCACTGAAGCCTCAGCACAGGAAAAAGGTTAACATCAGGTTCACTGGGATCTATGTCCACTCAAAATGGAGAGGTAGGTCACAAAGTTAAAAGAGGCTCAAATTAAAAGAGAAGCAAAGAACTCAGAGTTTTAATAATTTATTTAAAATGCACAATCAATTATTAGAATTGATACCTGAAATAAACAATAATGGAAAGTGTTTCTTTAAAATGGAAGAAAACCTACCTGGTAAAGGCAGGCTGCTGTTCCAAGGAAAAATGCAATGATGTAATTAAAATCATCACCATCACTCTGCAAAAGCAAAATAAAAGATTATTTTTGTTTCTGGTGGGAGCCCATTTCTAGAAACAATCCATCAAGATAGGCTATAACAATGTTTACACACAGTCAAAATTGTCACACACTGGTATATAAAAATTCTCAAGAGTCCTAAAATGAAAACATAAAGCACATTCTAAGGCCTAAAGAGTGTGAGGTAGAGGTACAAGTGTTCCTCTACATTTTGGCCACCCTCATCAATTTCATTCCACTCAAAAGAGGAAAACCACTGGGGAAAAGTTCTGACATACTGTTAAAAGCCTCTCATCCTACTACTAAAAAAATCACGTACAAATGTACAACGCCCCAGTGGCTGACAAAGTTACTCTGGCTCACTAGGGTCATTACTTGACTCAAATACTGACAAACTTTACTACTAGTAAGTATATCACCGAATTGTCCAATAAAGTAATTTGATACGATTTTCTAAAAAACTGTGAAAACTGAAAAGCTACTATCCACTAGAGTGTGCTAAATCCCAATAAGAAAAATTAAGACTAATCAGTCTTGCATGCTATGCTAGAAAAACAGCCACCCAGAGGAAAAACAGATACCTCATGCATAGAATGTCTCTGCAAAGAAAACTAATGGAGACAGGTAACAACTCATGCTTTCCTATTCCTTTCTGGTTCTTCTTAAATATCTACATTATCAACTTCTTTCAATGTTTTTATACAGTAAAACATAAAGTCCAGACAGGAGCATTACATTTTTTTTCTCTTCCAGGCAGGAGCATTAATTTGGCCCTTTTCTTATATTAGCGAGAAAAAAATCTCTTTATACGATGAAAATTTCTACAAGACATAGAAGAGTATCTCATTATCATTTCTTCATAAAATAGTATAAAGGGAAAATTCCTTTTGCATTGGTTATTGGGCAACAGAACAGACTGTAAGGCAGAGGAGAGCTGGCTTATCCTAGTGAGAAGATCTTAAAATAGGAACCACTCATCTGTCTGGGATGCTCAGGCCTGTTGCACCCCAGAGACAAGGAAGGTCAACATGAAACCTTTCCAGTGTAATAATTCTAAAACCTTAAATAAGTTCTGCTTGATTATTTTTTCTTTAGTCCTTTAGTTTTTAAATGACCTTTTTTCTGATTATAAAAGTTCATGTTCATTGTAAAGAATCTGGAAAATACAGCCTATACAAAAAAGAAATTAATATAACCTATAAATGCTACAACTCTGGGAAAATTACTTCTAACCGTTTCATGTATTTCCTTCCAGTCTTTTCTGTGTATGTAGATACACTTTTAAAAAATAGATTGATACTTTCATATACTACTTTTTAGTACTTCACATTACATCATAAACACTTTCCCAAGACAGTAAATATTCCTCAACCACACAATTTGTAATGATTATATAACCTTTAATTGTGGGGATATACTATAAGTTACTGTCCTACAATTGGATACTGTATTTTTTCTCTAAATTTTGACTTTCTAACTCTCTTAATCACCCTTTTTCTCTTTTCCTTCTTTTTTTTTTTTTTTTTTTTTTTAAATTTATGAGATGGAGTATTGCTGTCACCCAGGCTGGAGCGCAGCGGTGCAATCTTGGCTCACTGCAACCTCCGCCTCCCAGGTTCAAGTGATTCTCCTGCCTCAGACTCCCAAGTAGTTGGGATTACAGGGGCGTGCCACCATGCTTGGCTAAGCTTTTTTTGTATTTTTAGTAGAGATGGGGTTTCACTGTGTTAGCCAGGATGGTCTCGATCTCCTGACCTTGTGATCTGCCCGCCTCAGCCTCCCAAAGTGCTGAGATTACAGGCGTCAGCCACCACGCCCAGCCTTTGTTTATTTTGAGACAGAGTCTTGTTCTATCACCCAGGCTGGAGTGCAGTGGCACGATCTTGGCTCACTGCAACCTCTGCTTCCCATGTTCATGCAATTCTCCTGCTTCAGCCTCCCAAGTATCTGGGATTACAGGCATCCGCCACCATGCCTGGCCAATTTTTGTATTTTTTAGTAGAGTACGGGGTTTCACCATGTTGACCAGGCTGGTCTTGAACTCCTGACCTCAAGTGATCTGCCTGCCTTGGCCCCCGAAAATGTTGGGATTACAGGCGTGAACCACCGCGTCTAGCCTTAAATGCCTTTAAAACACTTAGAAGCATATTTTTACAGTCAGTCAGACTTGGGTTCGAATCTTTACTTACAATCTGGGGCAGTTACTTAACTTTAATTTCTTCTTTTGAAAGCTAAAAGTTGTAGAGATTAAGTGAAATAACATTTGCAAATACAAAGAAAAGTAACTGGTACATAGTAAATACTCAGAAACATTCACTAACTCCTCTCTCCCTGGGGTTACTGTCTGCGTCATTTGAAAAATCTTTAATTGATAAAGAGAAGACTGCCTATTAGCCTATTCTTCCATTTAATAAATATTTATTAAGCATTTACAAGCCAGGTACTTTGTTACTATCCCTAGTACAGAAAAGAGTTAAGTCCGGCCAGCACAGTGGTTCATGCCTGTAATTCCAGCACTTTGGGAGGCTGAGGCAGGCGGATCACAAGGTCAGGAGATGGAGACCATCCTGGCTAACACGGTGAAAACCCATCTCTACTAAAAATACAAAAAAATTAGCTGAGCATGGCGGCGGGTGCCTGTAGTCCCAGCTACTCAGGAGGCTGAGGCAGGAGAATGACGTGAACCCGGGAGATGGAGCTTGCAGTGAGCCAAGGTTGCGCCACTGCACTCCAGCCTGGATGACAGAGCGAGACTCTGTCTCAAAAAAAAAAAAAAAAAAGAAAAAGAAGAGAGTTAAGTCCACATCAACATAAGGAGGTCACTCTAATTAAGAAGGCAGATACGTAAATCAATAATTACCACCCAAAGTAATAACTGATGGCACAGGTGTGTGTAGAGGATACTAAGGGAGCCCAATGGAGACACATCTAATTCTGCATAGAGAAAAAAGAAAGGCCAGGGAAGGCTTCCTAAAGGGAGTAAAGCTTAAAGTCTGGGTCTTAAAGGCTGGTCTTAAAGGCTGAACCAGGTAGACAAGGTAGGAAGAGAATCAAAGGCAAAGGAATGAACATGTACTGTGTCAAAGAGGGAGGAGATTAAGATAACTCAGAGGCTTCTGGTTTAGGCAACGCTTGAATGATACCATGCACTAAGTTGGGCGTATAGGAAGAAAAGTAACTCAAGAGCAGAAAATATTGAGCTCACTGTGGACATGCTATTCTGGAGTTGCTAGTGGGACATCCAAATAATTATGTTTAGCAGATATTTCAGTCTGCTTCAGGAAACAGTTTGATCCAGAGATCTAACTTGGCAGTCTTCTATTTTAATAGTAGTTAGTTAAACAAAAGGCCTATGACAACCAAGTAAAAATCTCAATTCTTGATTAGCTCCTAGATGAGAGAGAGGAACAAAACACTATATAGAACACTCTGGGGGCAACTGTGGAAATTTGAATACAGATTTTCTATTAGGTAATACTATACCAATGTTAAATTTCTTTGGTGTGATTAAGAGGATTATGATTACGTAAAAGAACATCTTAGCCCTTAAGACATACATATTGAATTCAATTTTGCAATAAACTGAGATGATACCTACAATGTTAACTTTCAAATGACTCAGTAAAAAAAAAAAAAAAAAAGAAAGAAAGAAGGAAAATGGTAGGTAGGTATATGGGGTGGATGTTAATTCTACTGTTCTTTAAACTTTTCTGTAAGTTTGAATTATTTCAGAATAAGATGTTACGTGGTGCAGGGAAAGGAAAACACAAATATTTAATACACAGTCATGCAGCCACTAAAAAGAATAGAATAGGTCTCTGTGTACTGATGTGAAATAATCTCCTACATATTTTTAGACTTAAAAAGATGCAAATTAGTATTGAGTATGTTATCATTTCTATAAAAATTTTTTAAAGAATTGCATAAGTAAATATATAAATACCTATATACTAGCAAATGCACATAATCTCCCTAGAAGGATGACTCTGAGGAAGAAAATTGGGAGAGAATTACTTTTCTGTAAAAATATCAACTCTTATAGGCTTTGAAATTTTTCAAGCGCATATTTTACTGCATGTGTGTGTGTGTGTTTATGTATATATATGTGTATTTTTTCAAAAAGGCCATTATGAAAGTAACCAAGAAGAAGGCATGGAGTTGGAAGAATACAAAGCCAAGGACAGAATACTGGAGAATGCCACTATATAAAGGACAGGTGGAGGAAGAAAGTCTGTCAAATAAACTGAGGAATAGGAAGAGAAACAAGGAAACAAAACAAAACAAAACAAAATGGGAGAAAACGGTTTCACAAAAATGAATGGGTAAGAGATTTGTCAAGAAGAAAAATGTAAATACATTAAACTATTAACAGTGATTTGTGTCTATGTTTCCTGAAATAAAATTTATTTTTTGAAATTAAACAAGGAAATGTTTAAAAGGAAGAACATAATGACAGATGAGGCAGAGAGGGTACATAAGACTCGACTCTAAAGAGTAGCTGCTGTATTTGGCAACTGAAAGGACACTGGTGAGCTTAATGGTGGATATCTAAGAGAATTACAGGAGTAGAAAAGACATCATAGTAGACTAAGAAATAGAGGGCAAAGGAACAAGACAACAAACATATTCTACTCTCTCAAAAAATTAGAAGAGAGCATATGTAAAGAGGCTTTTTTGGTTTTGTTATTTTTTTGTTTTTTTAAAGAACAGCAGGGCTGAGGGAAACGAGCCAGTAGGGAAGCGCAGATGAAAAGTAGGTGAAGGAATAGCCAGAGGTTGGAAGGTGGGCAGAGGACAGCAGCAGGGACAAAAGTGGGGGTGGACAGTGCTGGGGAAACAGAGACAGGGAGAAAGGCAGAGGAGGGGAAGAAGAGGGCAGAGGTAAGGAGTTCCAATACAAATCTTTATGAATGTCACTATTCACCTTTAGGGGATACTAGAGTACCAATGCATTGCTCTGAAAAGAAATAAAGTAAAATTTCTTTTAAAGATAAGGATGG